GACTGCTGCACTTAGGAAGGATACCCCTGGGAGAACATCCAGTGAAGTTATATGGGTGGAACTGAAAAATAGGACAGGGGTTCAAAACAGAAGTTGCTGGAAAAGCTCAGCAGGTCTGACAGCATCTGCTAAGAAAATGCTAACATTTCAGTTCCGAGGAAGGGTCACCGGATTTGAGACGTTAACTGATTTCTCCTCAGATGCTTCCAGACCTGCTGAGCTTTTCCAGCAACTTTTATTTTTGTTCCTGATTTACAGCATTCGCAGTTCTTTCGTTTTTTTTTGTACAGGAAGGGAATGATCACCTTATTGGGATTGACTATATGCCTCCCCCACTCCCCAATACCCAGCAGGAAATTGAGAAGCAAATACGTAAGGTGATGTCAAATATCTTTAAGAATAATAGGGTTGTAATGGTAGTGGCTTTCAACTTATCAAGCATTGACCAGGGCTGCCAGTGTTAAGGCCTTAGAGAGGAATTTAAATGTGTACAAGTAAATTTTCTTACTCGGTATGTGGATGTACCTGCCAGGGAATGAGCAAAACTTGACCTTCACTTGGGAAATGAGGCAGGGCAAATGACTGAGATGTCAGTCAGGGAGCGCTATGGGACCAGTGATCATAATTCTATTAGTTTTAAAATAGTGATGGACAAAGGATAGATCTGAACTAAAAGTTGAAGTTTTAAATTGGAGTAGGGCCTACTTCAATGGTATTAGGCAAGAAGTTTCAAAAGTTGATTAGCAGAGGCTATTCGCAGGTAAAGGGACAGGAGGAAAGTGGGAAACCTTTAAAGATGAGGTAACAGGAGTTCAGAGACAGTATGTTCCTGTTAGGATAAAGGGCAAGGCTGGTAGCTGTAGGGAATGCTGCATGACTAGAGAAATGGAGGCTCTGTCAAGAAAAAGGAGGCGGCTATGTTAGGTATGGACAGCTGGGATCAAGTAAATCCCTAGGGGATTATAGTGGCAGTAGCAGTATACTTGAGGGGGAAATCAGGACAGCAAAAAGGGGACATGAGATATCTTTGTCAAATAGGGTTAAGGAGAATCCAAAAAGATTCTACAAATACAAATACATCAAGGGAAAAACAGTAACTAGGGAGATAGCAGAAATAGTAACTAAACAAGTATTTTGCATTAGTGTTTACTATGTAGAAGGTTACGGAAGCTAGAGAACTTGGGGAAATAAAATAGTAATACCTTAAAGTTTCCATTATCCAGAAGTGGAATGGCTGGGGTGTCTTAAAACACAAAGGTGGATAAATCCCTGGGACCTGATCAGGTGTTTCCCAGAACTTTGTGTGAAGCTCGGGAAGAGACTGCTGGGCCCCTTGCTGAGATATTTGTATCATTGATAGCCACAAGTGAAGGTGCAGGAAAGCTGGAGGTTCGCTAATGTGGTGCCATTATTTAAAAAGAGGCTGTAAGGATAAGCTTGGAACGATAGACCAGCAAGCCTGATGTCATTGGTGGCTAAGTTGTTGGAAGGGATTCTGAGGAACAGGATTAATATGCATTTGGAAAGACAAGGACTGATTAGGGTGTGCCAACATGGCTTTGTGCATTGAGAAATCCTGTCTCAGTAACTTAATTGAGTTTTCTGGAGAAGTCACAAAGAAGAGTGAAGAAAGCAGAGCAGTAGATTTCAGCAAGGTGTTCCATAAGATTCTGCACAGTAGACTGGTTAGCAAGGTTAGAACTAGTCATTTGGATACAAAATTGGCTCAAAGATAGGAGACAGAGGGTGGTAGTGGAGGGTTGTTTTTTGGCCTGGAGGCCTGTGACCAGCAACGTGCCGCAAGGATCAGTGCAGAGTCCACTGCTTTTTGTCACTTTATATAACTGATGTGGATGAGAATATAAGTTTAGTTAGTAAGTTTGCAGATGACACCAAAATTGGTGGTGTAGTAGATAGTGAAGGAGGTTATTCAAGACTACAACGGGACTTGATCAGATGGCCCAATGGGCTGAGGAGTGGCAGATGGAGTTTAATTTAGATAAATGTGAGGTGTTGCATTTTGGTAAAGCAAACTTGTACAGTTAATGGTAGTGCCCTGGGGAGTGTTGCTGAACAAAGGGACCTAGGACCGCAGGTACATAGTTCCTTTAATCTGGAGTTGCAAGTAGGCAGGGTGAAGGAGGCATTTGGCACGCTTGCCCTCATTGGTCACTGAACTGCATATACGAGTTGGAATACTGCAGCTGTGCTGGGCATTGGTTAGGCCACTTTTAGAATACTACGTTCAATTCTGGTCTCTCTGCTATAGGAAAGAGATTGTTAAATTTGAAATGGTGCAGGAAAGATTTACAAGGATGTGAGCTATAGGGAAGAGGCTGAATAGGCTGGGGCTATTTTTCCTGTAGCGTCACAGGCTGTGGGGTTACCTTAGAGGTTTATAAAATCATGAGGGGCATGGATAGGGTGAATGGCCAAGGTCTTTTCCCCCAGGCAGGGAAGCCAAAACTAGAGGACCTAGATTTAAGGTGAGAGGGGCAAGATTTAAAAAGGGACCTAAAGAGCAACTTTTTCAAGCATGTACGGAATGAGCTGCCACAGGAAAGTGGAGGAGGCTGGTACAAATACAATGTTTAAAAGGCATCTGGATGGATACATGAATAGGAAGGGTTTAGAATGACATGGGCCAAATGCTGGCAAATGGGAGTAGATAAATTTAGGGTATCAGGTTGGCATGGACAAGTTGGACCGAAGGGTCTGTTTCCGTGCTGTGTAATTCTACGACTCAATGACAAGCATCAGCAGGGACTGGATTAGAAATGACCCACATAAATATGCCCAAAACTGGACACCAGCTTCTACCTTTAAAATTACCGTTCACTATTTAGTCACACATTACCATAAAGACAACTATGGCTCAAACCGAATACTCTCCTCATCCAACTCATTGTAAAATCCAACAAGGAGTTGAAATTTGCCCATTTAAGGACAGATCAAAGATCAGTATTCTCTCAGTTTTAAAATTTAACACCGGTTCAAAGATAGAGGCTCATTGTAAAAGCTACGTATATATCTGCTAGCATAAAAATCATAAAAAAATCTCAATGTAATTCTGCAAATCTGTAAGTGATAAATCAGATTATCTAGCATGTAATTGGGATTGGCAAGTTTGATTTATAAAGTATACTAGGCTCTTAATTTCCTTCTCAGTTTGTGCCACAACTGCAAATTAGTTACTTCATATAGCATTTTGCGAAAATCATGGCATAGTTCTGCTGCAATAGTCACAATACTTTCTGAAATGCTGAGATATAGCCCAAACATAGATTATACCATCTAAAGTGAGTTCATTTTACATAATGAGCATTAATTTATTTTTAGTCACAATGTAGACAAGCGTATGCTGCCTAGTATCTAAACTCAGTGGTTAATTGATGCCAATGTTGCTGAATCATTCAATATTCTATCGTGTACATCATTTAGATTTATCCACACAACACTGGGGAAATTAAAGATTTTCAATAACTATACAGCAAAACTCATGTTATCCAATACTTAAAGCAGAACACTCCTCCAACCAGAATCTTCAAGTGCATGTAGCAAATGATTCCTGCTCTGTTGCCAGATTACAAAATGCAGTACTCCTGATCACAGCCACTTAAAGCCACATAAGTATTAAAACTATACAGGCAGTGTTTACAACTTACAGACGATGCTCAAATCCTTACAAGGGCTTTATCACTCAAAATCAAGGACCAGATCAAAACACAATTTAATTCCTTACTGGAACACTGCATTGACACAAAACAGCTTGTCACAATGTCAAAGTGTTTGTTTAGAATATTTACAGCACAAATCATGTTTCAACATTTGTTCATTACAGTTGTTTAAAGATAGCCAAGTCACTATATAAAATCACAATGTCAGTCTTACATTTCTCTAAGAAGAACCGTCTAAAATTAGTGTTTTGAATAGCTGAGTTATTAATCACTGGGTTAACTGGCACTTTCATTTTACCAACACCACCTGGCCATGGTGTATAATGGATAACAAAGTCTACAGTAATTTAAGATCCCAAATACAAGAAATAAACCATACAATAATCATCTTGAAACAGTTCTAAGAGATAGATATACATATTGTTTGGAATCGGAGGGATCAACAGCAACAACCTGTACTGAAACAGTGCCTTCAATGTAATAAAGCATCCCAAGAAGTTTTACAGATTTGTAAACATCAGTCACCAAACCTCAAGGAGAAATTAGGGTAAATGACCAAAAGCTTGGTAATTGTAAGATGTATGAAATGTCTTAAAAAGACTAAATAAAACGAGAGGTGGGCAGGTTAAAGGAAAACATTCCAGCATTTAGTGCTTGGGCAGGTCCAGTCACCAGCACTGGATTATCAAAATCAGCAATGTTTAAAAAGGCCAGAACTTGGGGAAGGACTGGAGGAGATTAGGGATAAGGACTGGCAAGGATATTAAGACAGGTGAAAAGCTTAAAATTGGAGGTATTGTTTAACAAGACACCAATGTAAATAGCTCAGCAAGCGCAGGGGTGATGGGACTTGGTAGGAGTTAGGACCACCTCAAGATCAGCTATTTCAACAATTCAAAATTTACAAAAGGCATGAACTACCTTATAACAGAGTGGCCTACAGTAGAGATCTAACAATAATAAAATCGATTAAATCCAGAAGAAACTTAAAACACAACTGTTAACCATTCTTTACCATGAGTGACCAGACAGGAAGTGAAAATCTAAGTTCTTAACTTTGATAAATTACATTTACCATCATTGATTGCAAAATAATCAAAACAATGTACTATTTACAATGCATTATTAATCTCTCAACAACAGCACATGGTTATCAGTCTATTACTTCAGAAGATTAATTCATTTATTAATTTTGTGCGATGTGGGCATTGCTAGCTGGCCAGTATTTATTGCCAGTCCCTGATTAATTCTGTTTGTTACTGCATTTTAGAAACAACAATCTTAAGGTTGCCCAAGTCATAAGCACATTTGTTAAGAACTTACTTCACAGAACAGCGTGAGTTTGTCATCAGGAAGGAGCCCATTGGCTTCATCTAGTAGAAAATCTCTTCTAATAAATTTCTTGAAACCCCAGTCTTTTCCTTGTACAAACCGATAAGCACGCTGGCTCTCTGTAATACAAAATAGATCCATTCTTAGGTTAAATTGTGATTCTGTTAAGTAGATCAATCCTAGAAAGAGACTGCCAACCTTTTATTGTTTTCATCTTTTATTAACTTCAAACTGCTTCAGCCACCTGAATACTATTACATACCCGCACATGGCCATACTATACAAGATATTATACATGTGAATGCTAGATTATGGTAAAATGGACTGACTCAATAGAATTCAGCTGATTGCATTCTGTAGGTGATAAAATTCAAACATGGCATTTAGGGATAGGTATTTTTAAATCAGAACTTCTTGTGCCTCAGCGAACAAGTCTACAAAACGGTTAGTCTGCTATACACTTTACAGAAAGAAAAAATAAAATCCTCTCAAACACTTTCGTTTCTCAACAAAAAGCAATGCAAATGTATGACACGAAAGGTCACTTTTTTTAAATGTCAAGTATAATAAAATTCTGCTACATGAATTGAAATCTCCTCAACTTCTTAAAAACAAACTCTTAACTAGTAAATGAGATTATAAGTCTGTAACAGAGCTTATGAACTAAAGTATGAAAATTAAGTGGGAAAGTAACCCTGTTAATTGAATAATTATATTTTTATGATAATCAAAACAACCATTTCACAGATCAGACTGTATTGACTTCACCTGGAGCTTAATGATAAACTATGGGGTTTGCTTATTTATGCAAAATTAATTTTTTAATGAAATTAATATTAATAAGAACAGAGACACACCATTAGTTAACACAATGGCCTTTCACTTTTGAAAGCTGGTTTCAAGTTCAGCTCTAAGTGATAATCACTTTTCAGAGTGGCTTTTTTAAATTTTTAATTCATTCATGAGATATGGGAGTCATCGTCTAGGCCAACACTCACTACCTATCTCCAATTGTCCAGAGGGTTGTTTGGAGTCAACCACTTTCTGTGGATCTGGAGTCACATGTAGGCCAGATAGGGCAAGGACAAGAGTTTTCTTCTCTAAAAGGACATTATTGAACTGGATGCATTTTGTAGACAATGGTTCCATGATCTTCTTTAGACGCTTAATTTACTGATTTAAAATTCCACTATCTGCCATTGTCAGAATCAAAACTGGGTCTCCAGATTAATCATCTAAACCATAATACCACTAGGCCATTGCCTCCTCCACATAATGAAATCTTATATGAAATAAATTGAAGCGGTCTTAATCCACTGTCTAGCACATACGAACTTAGTGCAAAATTACTATTGCTTTGCTGTTAAGTGTTTCTAAGAGATAGAACATGGCCAATTTAGAATACGAACACATTAAGACTTAATTAGTTGCTCCCTTCTAAGTGAAAACAGACAAGAGTTATACCAAAGCAGAGTGCTTGACCCATACCATATGGTAAAAATCAAATTTCATTTCCCAGTTCTAATCACAAATGTTAATGCCAAAATTTAATTTTCTTACACATTGTGCAAAGATCAAGAATATCCATGAAGAGGAGGAAGAGCAATGGAAGTCTGTGTAAAATAAAAAATTGATCACAATTCACTGTGCAAGACTGCATTTCTTAAAAAGAAATAAGGCTAAGCCACAACACCTCAACAAGCATTTAAAACTGTTTTATGGGATATACACAAAGTCCATGCAAATCTTGTGCAGCATACCTAACAGAGGCTACATTATTCGGGACAAATAGTGAGTGAAGAAACTATGATTAAGTTGTAATAATGAGGTGATAAATGAAACTTGTTGAATGCTTCAATAGCATACAATAAATAATGATATTGTACGCAGATATAAAATCACTGATGATGATTACGGTTTTAAAATTGTCTAAAAACTGAAATGACAACTTGTTCCATCGAATAAAAATGAAGAAATAAAACAAAAGAAATTTAAAATAGGTCCTTCAGCTTCTAAGAGGGGAAAAGGCAAATTAACATTTTGTATTAAGAATGGTTATTCGTCCTCTACCTAATATGCTAGTCTGTCTTTTTTTCAAGATAGTGATATATCTAATCATAGTCCTAGCATTTTCTATTTAAAGATTCAAACTGTTTGGCTTTTAAACTGTCAATCACTTGAACTGTTCAATCATGCAATTTATTCAAACACTGATTGCCTCTAAGATAAATCATCCTGGCGTTCGGATTTACAGAACTTAAATCTTGCTGAAATGAACCATATGCCACTAAAGCTTTTCATTTCACACTCATCGGGACAAATGCAGGAATGCTAAATTTCAAAAGATCACAAAAATTTACACCGCAGGAAAATACGTACTTTTGTCCCTTTTGTAATGTAAATCATTGTGATCATTTGAAATATGGCACTTTGTGCCCATCCTATGAGTACGTGATGAAAAGCTTCAGCAACAGGTCTCTCTTATCAGTAATAAAACCATCTTGCGGAAATGAAGTAAGACAGAGCGAACCTTGTGCGCTCTTAGCTCATCGCCTGGGAGCCACCATGAAATCTGCATGCAGGTCCTTGGTTTAGCCATTCTACTTCATTTTTAAAATATATGTTTACAGTTATTCAAATGCATACTTTCCTCTTTCAATTTTAAGTGAGCCAAATTTCCACCTCTTCAGTGTTGATGGGTAGTTCTGAAAGTAATTTTTACCTTGGTCCAAATGAGATTAGTAAAATGCATGCAGGCGTATGCAATAAAGAACAAAAATGCTACATTTCTTCCGTACTTGGTTTTTAATCTCTAAAAGATGAGAATGCCCTTCTTTAATCTTCACAGAACCAAGAAAGGTTGAGGTAATTGTCCTCAATTTCTGCTGCCCTACTGCATTTAGGAGGCCGACTTTGCATTGATACGTTATCTATCTCATGAAGAATATACAACCAGATATGGCCAGGAGGAGTTGTGGAGCATGCAGCTACAATGCTGAAAAGGCAGCTCAAGTTAGAAGCCCAGTCAGTCAAACAGTAGTGGGTTCTTGCCAATAATTATTAGAAGAGACCATAATACTCTGCTGCCAACAGCAGGATCATTATGCACCCAGTAATTTCTTCTAATTACTGATTCTAAAGGTAGGATCCCTCATGAATATAAACTTTAGCTTGAGCCATACTTCTTGGCTGGGCAATTTTTGACACCACTAGAGTGAGGGCTAATGGAATATTGTGCTTTTCTTGCCTTGTTATTGCAGGGGTGGAAACCACTAATTTTTTTTTAAACATCCAGGCCTTAACTAAAACCATTTTAACTTGGACATAAGTGTAAAATTTCAGAAAATCCATTCACAAAAATAAAAGCACATCCAATGACAACTGTCTTCTCGTATTTTTAGTAGTGGAGAGGTTGGAATCGTACTTTTCTGCACAACATAGATTATATTGATATGGAAACAATCCTTCCACGAGAAGTTTATTCAAGGAATCAAACCTGAACAGCGTAAGTGAACTCCAAACAAATGCCACTTTTATAAAGTTATCCATTAGTCTGCAAATTGTAAAATTGAGGAGAGGTGTTAAAACACGGGTTTTGACAAGCCTACTTTCTTTCACCAAGGACTCCAGCCTCAAGTGAAAGATAATCTGTACAATTCCACACTTTCAGTTTATATCTGACAGGGGGTGTGTTTCAAAAAGGGATTGAGATCAGGGGAAAAGAAGTCAAGAAAAGGGAAGCATTGGTCATAAATAATTGCTCTTTTACACCAATTTGCACAACTGAATAGTGCTGCATTTAAAAGCTGTGCCTGTATCTGAAGCATACTGTCACTTCACTTACCCATTGCCTTAGTTTCTTCACCTTTTGCGTTCAGAATGGAGAATTTAAATTTTGCTCTGACTTCACTTTTTGGACAGCTGACTAGCAGCAGGTAGAGTGATAGGTAATCTTTACTTTCCTCATCTAAACCCTTAGGGTTCACTCGGAGGCACCTTAAATATATATAAAAATGAAATATGTTAAAAATAAAATGAATGAATTACATACAGGCTGAAAAAATTAAGAGCATTTTAGATGCAGAATTGGGCTGTCTCAGTTTTTCTCCCTCTTTGTAACTTTCCTCTTCTTAGCATAACTGTCGCTAGTTACTAGCGGCAAAGTTCACTTGTAAAAAGGATGGTCTCTACCTATATTATGTTCAATAATGCTAATGCTCAAGAGTTGCTGTGCTGTTCTTCAGGCCATAATTTACCGTTTTTTAACTACACTTCCCAAAGCATTTTATGCAGCAACTGTCCCCAGTGCTGCTTCAAAAGTAAGACAAGCCTACAAATGTCATATTTAAAGTTATATTTAAATATATTCAATGCCTCTAGTTCCTTCTCTCATCTTGTAATTGATAGCGTTTCACAAATGAATTTTCCATACTTACCATTCTCTCCCCACCCTCCCCCACTCTACACTCCCCACCAAAAGCATTTGAAATGTGGGAATATTTCATGAATATGGATGAGGCAAGCTGTTTTTCAACTCTGTTGAACTGAAAAGGGAGACAATTCTTCTTTTATGAGCATTAACTAATTTGCCCCTTTAACTCCAAATCTTAACGCCAATCATTTTGTGTCTATTACTCTCATTTCACCACCTCCTCAAACCTAGTCTAATTCTTCAATCACAACAAAATAGATTACATTGCTTTTAAATATTTGTATGCTATTATAATCAAGTTAAAAAACTCAATGAGTGAAGTCAAAGGAAAAGAAACTGGCTTGCCAAATTCAAAACTAAAATTAAAAAAAATTAGTAAACATTTCAATGCCATGAAAATATAATTGCTCACTCGTCCCACAATATAGTCACTTGAGTTGGCAAGTAGTACAAGCAACACAAACTCATTAAACGAAGTGCAGGATACTCCTTTAACCAAAAAAAAGGTTTGGAAAACAACTAAAATTGAAATATTCACCAGTCTACAATATGGAAGAACTATACAGCTTTGACTTCTATAGAACACTTAAAACATTGACGTGCTGAACGGAATACCGGTAAATACTTATCGATTATGGAGTCTTGGTACATTTGAACCAAATTATATTTAAATTAAATTGGATTTTGAAGACAATTTAAATGATGGGTGACTTGTTACAACATAATTTGTTTCTTTCAATTAGTTAAGGGTCCATTTAGAAAATTCTTATAGCTTTTTCAGAATCTTTGACTATTTGAAGTTTAATGCTGCATTTATAAATGTTTTAAAAGTGAAAGATCATGCCTAAAGGAACGTAATGACTGAAGATGATCTTGACGGAGATATCTGGTACTGTTCAAGCAAAAACAAGTTTATTAGCTTCAACTCTATACCATTGTCAAAAATGTACCTGCCCCTCAAATGTATCAATTTTTCTTAATTCAAGCAGCACCTACCAGTGACAGATCAACCTCACTACTTGAAGCTCAGCAGACTAAGAGCTACGTCTGTGCACTTTCATTCATGATTATTGACGGTGTTTCGCACATAGCATATATTACAAATGGTTAACTGGTTGACTGGAACACAACAAAAGCTTGTAGCACAGTGGTTAGCATCCCTATTTTTGAGCCAGGAGCATGGAGTTCAAGTCCAATCTGCACAAGAGGTGTGTCATAACACCTCTAAGCAGGTTGATTAAGAAATATCTAAGCTTGGCTCAGAAACTGATCAAAGCACCATCATATGGTTTGGGTTGCACTAGACTAAGTCAATCCATTCATTTCATTTAAAAGAAAACGTTCCATATTTTAAATTGGAGAGAGAGGAAGAGATGAACTTCAGTTGCTGGGAATCTGAAATAAAATGGAATAACAGAATTTCACTGTATGCCATTTAGCATTTACAAAAGAGAAAAGATGCACTGTTTCAGCTTCCAGGTCTCAAAACGTTGGAACCCAAAACGTGGACAAACTTTGTCCTTTCCAAATGCTAATACACATCCCACCTATTCCCAATGTTCATTTTCCCCCTTTTAATTTCTACTCATTCCATTCTCAATATAGAGAGTGGAGAAGAAGAAGGAGAAATGAAGAATGTAGAATCATTTTCACTCTAGGGAGACTGAAGTGAAGCCAACAGTCTCTTTTCCAATAAACCATTACAAATTACTATCACATAACAACTGTATTCAATCATTCTGCAGCTGTTTCTATGTTTTAGAGTCAATTTTGATACTGCTCGGACAGTCCACAAAATCCAACACAATCAGAAATTCAGTACTTTTAACATCAATAATTTTGGATTCATGCTTTCCTGCTTGCTAGATTTAAATTTCAGCAGTCTCCCCGAAGATCCAGATTTGCTGTGAACTCCAGTCATACCAGAAAGAGTTCTCTATATTATTACATCTAGGTCAGACGTTTAAAAATTTTAGCTAGGTTGTGGTGGGGGCAGAGGAAGGGGAAAGGGGAAGAGGAGGAAAAAGAAGAAAGAGGAAAGAAAAGGAGAGGGTTAAGTGAATTAGTTCCATTCCTCTAAAAAGCAAAATTACTTTTTTCTGTGAACACATTTCATGTTTGGTTATGTTGTTGTAAACCACCAGTAAACCGAATGTACAGCCAACGTGCTGTACTGAGTGTGTATAGTACTTAGATACGCCCCAACATGAGTCACAGTAACTCCCTTTAGCTCATTATTCTAAATACTTCAGGAATTTACAACTAATATTTTACAAAAATTGACAGAAACAAAATGAAATTAAAAATAGGTGTGTCTGATTTATAAAGTGTCTTCAATAGTAACACTTTTCAAAGTGAATATTTAAATATCAGAATTGTTTTTTCTCTTATAAACAAAGGTTGCTTTCTTAGTTCATTCACAAGACAAGACGAGGGTGTCACTGACTAGGCCATCCTTAATTGGCCAGAGGGCAGTTTAGAGTCATCTACATTGCTGTGGGTCTGGAGTCACATGTAGGCCAGACTAGCTAAGGATGGCAGTTTCCTTCCTTAAAAGGACATGAGTGAACCAGATGGGTTTTTTCATGGTTATCATTAGACTCTTAATTCCAGCTTTTTAATCGAATTTAAATCCAGGATTTGAACCAGGGTTCTCAGAACATTACCTGGGTCTCGATTACCAGTCCAGCGATAATACCAAAGCCATCACCTCCACAAATAAATTAAATGACGCTATTCATAATTTTAACTTCAAAAGCGGAGTGCTGATGATAACACTGATGGCATAGGTCTAAAGATAAAACTGACATCATTGATGTTTATGTGTTTACTCATCTTGTTATGCAAGCTACTTTCTCAAAAGCATGTCTCCAATTAAACCACCAATATAGTTCAAATTTATTAAACAGAATCAACAGTTGCTAAAATAAAAAAATGGCTTGAATCTTCAAAGCTGGGTCAGAATTCCATTTCCCAGCCCAGATCAGAAAAAAAATTGTCCAGTTATTCTCATGCCCAATTTCAAACTAGCACAAATTTGGTCTCCAAGACAAAAAACATATTTCTAAAATTATGCTGATAATACAATATAAAATCATCGCAACATTACTTACTTTATATATGAAAAAATGAAAAGCTAAGTAATCATAATCTATCACATTCCTGGATATAAACAGCACATAGTTAAGATAGTGGAATAGATGTTTTGTAACTGTACATTTCAAAATTGTCTAATGTACATAAAATAAAATATATTTTATACTGTGGTAGGGATTTAAAATTTATCACTTTTGACTTTGCAGTTTGAGATTAAAAAAATTAAAACATGAATTAAATACAAGGACTACTCCCCCTCTCAACAACCAAAAATATAAAAGTTAGGAAGTAAACAGTACAGGATGTATTTTTAAAAATTTGTTCATGGATGTGTGCATCACTGGATTGACCAGCAATAATTGCCCATCCTTAAATGAACAGAGGACAAAAGGACAGTTACAAGTCTGGAGTCACATGTAGACCAAACGAGGTAAAGATGGTAGATTTCCTTCTTAAAAATTAGGTAAGCCAGATTTTTTTTTATTACAACAATCAAACTGTTATTACAGTTGTTATTTGGCTAGCCTTTCGTTGAATTCAAATTTCACTATCTGCCATGATAGGATTTGAAGCCATGTCCCTAGTACTTTGGCCAGTCATTCAGGATTACTAGTCAAGTGACACTATGCCACTTCTTCCCCTACAGATAAAACAAACCTCCTTGCTTCCAAATGGCTCAGTTTATTCGATTAGGAATATGAAAGTAGAGTCTTGAGCTGTAGGACCCAATATTAACTTTTGGTCAGGAAGTGTTTAGCTGAAACTTTCAAAGGAAGGTCTGTAAGACTTTGCCATAGGCTCTGCTGATATCAGCATTAAGGCCCAGTTCTTCAACAGCCAGTTACATTAACAGTACGTAAAAATACAGTCAGCGAGCAGATCTCAAGCACAACACCAAGCTGAGTGGGCTGGGAGAGCTTGCCCTACTCCTTCTGTCGTCCTAAATACAGCATAACAATGTCACTTACCTCTTGGATCTGGCCCTTCATGTCTCCTTTCATAAATAAAAATATTTGAGTTGAGTTTCCTTTATAAATTTTAAAACCCCCAACCACGTACGCCATAGAAGTTCATTGGTTAAAACAGATCTAAGCTACGTTGACAATTTGGAACCGAAAGATCAACCCAGTTATCCTCTCCTAATTATTACCTAACATTGTTTAGCAAGAGCGCGAGAGACAGTACGTGTTACATATAATACTGGATTTCGATCGTTGGAGGATGCACCATAGAACCTGAATCTATCAATGTACATTACCTTCATAGAGAAAACAAAAAGTATTGAAAAGTACATTTGTTTTCTTTTAAAAACTGCATCTTTCTTGTCCTTCTCACACCTCATCTGGTTACTAGGGCTTCTTCAGGAATATTTTTAATTTTTGCTTTAAGAGAACTAATTTTACCTGTCATCTCATCACAATGGTCCTGAAAACAGTTTCTAGCTGCGCACAATAGATCAAACTGAAAATTCTCTATTCTTGGAGTCAGTAATGAGATGGTATACGTACCACAAGGTAATTTATTTTATGTATGGCATTTCTTGATTGGGATAAGGGAAACAGAAGACTGCCTTCTTGAAAACACTGATTTTCTTCCAGTTCATAGAAATGTTCCTGTTTGATTGGCTATTTTCCAGTTTATTGTTTATAATAAACCTGATAATGTTAATAATGTTTTGTCTATAACAGGACTTTACTAAAATTACATTTTTCAAATACATCCCTAAAATAGCAAAGGTACTTGGGTGAACCATGTGTTGAATAAAGATGGATTAATGGCATACTGCAGCAGTCTGCTCGTTGAATGCACATTGTTGAGGCACAGCAGAATATGCTTTAACAGTAGTTCAATCTGACCTCGCTGGACTTGGTGCCTACATTGGGAACCCAAAAATACGTCCTCTCTCTTAACATGAATGTCACTCAACCAGAGTACAATTTTTTTAAATGTTCTGTTTTGGAAAGGAGTGTCCCCTTGCACCAAGGCATTACCCTTAGCAACCAAAAATAAAAACTGCAAGACTTTGCACAAGGTCTCTAACCATACACTTAGTTTACCTCTAAATTTCAAATTTATATTGTCAATGTATGACTACAGCATTCACAGCACTTTTTTGAAGAACAGAAAATAGTTCCTTAATTAATGATCAGAATGAAATACCACATTTCATACCTATAGCAAAGGCATAATCCTGCATTTGAGCTTTGAACAAAACATACTCAAAACTACATTAACTGAAACAAATATTTTCACATTGTCGCTCTGGAAACAGCAACCATAAATATTACACTGTTCCAAAACATCCTGTGTTATTCACTTCCCAAAGTCAAGTTAATCGTTCCCTTCATTCCCAATCCAACTATTTATTTTACCTTGCAACTAAATTATATCCAATCTTTGACCAGGTTTGAAGCACAGATATATCAACAACCACTGCAAGCCTTAAAATGACTCCAAAAACCTGAGAAATATTTGATGCTTATGAAGGTGTCTAAGTCTGTCATAAACTTATGAAATTTTTAGTGGTTTGTATAATTCAGGTGAAGAGACATCTACTCTATTTATGCTACCGTCTAGATGGAAAACAAAGTCCTCTAGGTTCCTCTTAGTGGAGAGCAGAAGGTAAGAAAGCAATGAAATAAACATTAAAATCTTTGGCAGGGGAAAAAAATTAAAGACCAAGTCACAACAAAACCCGTTCTTTTGAAAGGACAAGAGGAATTGTAAAGAAAACTAAGTAACAGTTATTCCTAATGTTAGCCTTTTGGTCATGATCGAGAGGTTGCATCAGTTCTTTGTGGGACTGCTTAATTCATTTCAATTAAACCTAAATATCACCCACTCTGTGGAAACCAACTAGTAAAATGAAAATACTTCAACTCCCTTTCAACATTGGAAGGGTACTTAATTATTCAGCATCTATTAAACGAAAATGTGTAACGAATATAACAACAAAATGCTGGCTGACGAATGCTAAGAACTGAAATAGCGAGCTTGGAGCTGAAAAATTTACTTATTGATAGGCCACGGAGAAAAATCGTCTAATATTAAGCACTGAGCCAATTTGCTGGGTTTTAAATTTCTAAAAATTGGTGACTGATCTCAATCTTACCTATAGCTCAAATACACTCTTCCAATTTAAATGGTCGCATGGTACCACTAGGTTGTCATGGGAGGATTGTATGCAAGCTTCAGGGGGAATTCTGAAATTTGGATTACGCCCTGTACCTAATCATTACATGGAAATTTCAGAAATAGGTGCCATAGCTTCCACAGCCTTGGAAAGGAACTTCTGGTTCATGAACAATATAATGATTAGGTCAAATGCATCAAACCACAGTACAAGTTCATTTTGTTACATGCTTCACTAAACTTTGATCATTCTGCCTTTCCAAAAACTGCATAAGCAAATCCCCGTAAATGCAAATGTTATCATACTGAGTTCCACACTCACCACTTTAATTTATCATTTGCTCCAGACGAGAAAGTCGAACTCTTGATAACTTCTCCCATTTCTTCTCTGCAGAAACTGAAGTTGTTGATAGTCCACATGTAAGAGAACTTCACTACTTTGATCTAGCAAAAAAAAAAGGAAAAAATAAATCCTTGAATATTGTAAAAACAACTGATGACATAACTGCAAAGAACAACAGATCCATGCTCTACTTCATGAATGCATGAGATCTGAGAACTGGGAGGGAACTGGAGTCCATTAAGAAATATTTTTGAATGGCCGCTCAGCTGAGTAAATCCAAATCCTGTCCTTAAAATTCACTGAATAATAGATCAATTGGCATCAAATATAGATAATAAAGAATGTGACTACCACCCAGCTGTTTTTATTAGAAATTTCAAATTCTTGTATCCTGTGCTGTTAATTATATTGCGCAATCTATTACAGATGGCTTTAGAGAATATCTAATTTGTGGAGTTAAGAATAGGAAGTGATCAAACGGAAATAAAATTCTTGAGACTTAAGACTGTAGGGGTCGATAAAGCATTTCAACTGCTGGAGGAATTTAGAGCATGGGATCAGTTTCAGACTCAGGGATTGACCGTTTTAGGACTTGCTTTTAACCTGAAATCGAACAGATATGCCTATGACGGGTAAACTGATGAGGGGACAGTCAATTGTATTGTTCCTTCTTGTTAGCTCCCTCAACCGTAGCAGGCCCAATCCAGCAAATATGTCCTTCACGGTTCAGTCAACCCAGTCAGTAGAGGTGGACATTAACAATCCCTAACTAGAGTACATTCTATGCTAAGTTCTATTCAATATGGGATAGTACTGAATCATCAACTGATGCCAGTGATGTCAAGAGCAAGTCACCCTTTCCACAAGGTGAAGGAGCAGAAATAAGCCATTCAGCCATTGAGTCCACTCTGCCAAACAGATCACAACTGATCTGATAATCCTTAACTCCACTTCCCACCTTTTCTCTATCACTCTGGATTCACTAACTTATTAAAAATCTCTCTCAGCCTTGAATAAACGACATCACAGCCTCTATAGGCCTTTCCAGTAAAGGATTCTAAAGATTCACAACCCTAAGAAATTCCTCATCACCTTTATCTTAAATGGGTTTTGTCTGTCTTTCACAGGATATCATACATCATGGTATGCTGAGGCAAATGTAGAGTTTGACACCCAATTGGATATATACCACTTTGCTATTACCTACGGTGGGTCTATTCTGTAAAGCTATGAAGAGAGGCTGAACAGGCTCAGGCTGTTTTCTTTAGAGCAGAGAAGACTGGGGGGTACTGACACAGAGGTGTATAAGATTATGAGGGGCATGGACAGGGGTTTAGAAAGCAGTTGTGCCTCTTAGTTGAAAAATCAATGACAAGGGCGCACAATTTTTGATAGTATTTTGGCTTGGGGTACAACTCAGTGAGTATGAATGTTACAGTCTGCTGTTTTGAGCGTATGTGGGCCGGCTCTCCAAACTTTTGCACAAGTCCCACGTAAAGACGACTTTGCAGGTTTGACTGAACACAGTTGCCAGACACTTCCAGTGCGCAGGTTAATGCTGCGCGGTGCATCTGGTTTTGTTCCTTTTCTTTGTGCAGTTATATGGTGTAGGTGAGTGGCCTCCTCCCTGAGGCTATTAAGGGTCAATGACATTGTGGGGTCTGGCGTCCAAGTAGGCAAGATAAGGATGGCAGATGCTTTTCTGCGAAGGGCAGAAGTGAACCTAACTTAATATATTAATTACCTGTTAATTTTAGCTCCATTACTGCCAACAGCTTTTAAAATCAACTACTGCTTATTTGGTCTGTTTAGCTTCTGCGATCAGGTGTTTTCAATGAGCAAGGTTGTAGACATTCAAACATCATAGGCAAAGAGATCTTCCGAAAGGCCTGTTCAAACTCAAATTCCTTATGATCATGAAATAGCTCAGGTTCAATTGGAAGCTCTAACCAATGGTTCAGAGGCCATAGGTCATAATTCCACTACAATTAGAAATTTCTGCATCACAGATACTTAAAAACTCTGGAACACATATTAAATGAGAATTCCTTTCTACCTGTGCCATTGATTCAGACTAATATAGAAGTTGTCATGGTACTGTTCAATGAGGACTGATTGTTTTCCAAGTTGGTGATCTTGCCTCAAGGCAAGATGGCAGCAGAGTGGGATGCTTCAGCTTTTTCTCTCTTTTCTTTCCTCTCTTCTGCCGTCTTGGTAATGTCGTGAACTCCTGGCCTGGCGACACGTGGTGGTCTCCCAGCCCAGTGTGGCAGTCTCTTGGAAGCACAGTCTCTCAGCCTTGCACGGCAATCTCTCAGTGGCACGTGGCCTCAGCATGGACTTCCAAGGTGATTCCACAGCCATCTCCCGGCCTCAAGAGGCTGGAGGTGAAACCCGGTGGTCTGGAGTCAAGGTTTGGTGCGGACTGAGTCGGGAGGATTGTTGTCCTGAACTTTTTATTTCTCTACTTTCCAACTTATTCCTATAATCTGCAATGCTGGACTTTTTACTTATTTATTTTCTAATTGCTTTTTCCCCTAATAACTTGTACTGAGGAATCCATACCTAGGTACCTTGTACTTAAGATGGCGTCATAAGTGGCAACTTCTAAACTTTCACTAAACTCCTTTGAGTAGGTGACAAAGCTAATTCAATTCAAGTCAGGTGTGCGAATGAAGGTAATGCAGTTGATGTAGTTTATATGGATTTCTTCGAAGCCTTTTACAAGGTGCCACATGGAAGATGGATGGCACATGGGATCCAGGGTAACTTCGCAAGATGGATCCCAAATTGACTTTGTGGTGGCAGACAGAAAGTGGCAGTAGAAGGCTATTTGTGTGACTTGACAGTGGTGTCCACTAGCGTACCATAAGGATCAGTGCTGTCTCACTTCTTGTTTGCGATACATATAAATGATGTAGATGAGAATGTTGAGTGAATGATTAGTAAGCATGTGGATGACAGAAAGACTGGACAGGTGGTTAATAGTGAAGAAAATCTTAGGTTAAACAAAGATATGGATAGTCTGGTCAAATGGGATTTAATTCTGACAAGTGCAAGGTGATGCACGTTGGAAGTAATAAGACAAGTAATGAACAGTAGGAAACAGGAAGCGCAGAACACAGCCATCTTGGAGTGCTTGACCACAGAGCACTGAAGGTAGCAGAACAGGTGATAAGGGTGATTAAAGTCGCATATGGGACGTTGATCTAGCATAGATTTTTAAGAGCATGGAGGTTATGTTGCAGCTGTACAAAAACAACTTTGGTTAGGCCACAGCTGGAGTACTCTGTGTGGTCCTGATCGCTGCAGCCATATATCTTTCTTGTAGTGCAACAAAGTGGGTGTGGAGGAAATTCACCAGGATGTTGTCTGACTTGGAATATATTAGCTATGAAGAGAGGCTGAGCAGGCTCAGCCTGTTTTCTTTAGAGCAGAGAAGGCTGGGGGGTACTGACGGAGGTGTATAAAATTGTGAAGGGCATGGACAGGGGTATAGAAAGCAGCTGTGCTTCTTATTTGAAGAATCAATTACAAGAGTGCATAATTTTTGAGTGAGTGGAGGTGGCTTACACAGGGCATTCAAAGAAAAATGTATTCACCCACAGGATGGGGGTGAAGTCTGGAATGCATGACCTGGAAGGACAGCAGAGGTAGGAAACCTTAACCTTTAAAAATGCACATGGACGAGCACTTGAAATGTCATAAGATTCAAGGCCATAGGCCAAGTGCTAGAAAGTGGGATTAGTCTAGACAGATCAGTGCAGACTCAACTGGGCCAAAGGCACCCTTCTAGGCTATACAACCGTGAGTAGGATGCAATCCTAGCTATGATTCTTTCTTCAGCCAAAATCATTAAAAGCAATTGACTGGTTGATTAGCTTTTTGCTGTTTGGGTAATATTGTTGATGTAGAATGGCTGATATTTTTGTTCATGTAACAGTCATTGAACTTAACGTAATTCAATTTGCAAAGTATTCTGAAATATCATGATGTATTATAGCAGTATATAAAAACAAGGGGTGATTGCTTACGATTCAACTTGAGCACCGGGACTTTAATTATAATAGAGTGTTAAAGAATTACACAGCACGGAAACAGACCCTTCGGTGGTCCAACTCGTCCATGCTGACCAGATATCCTAAATTCATTTAGTCCTATTGGCCAGCGTTTGGCCCATGTCATTATAAACCCTTCCTGCTCATGTATCCATCCAGATGCCTTTTAAATGTTGTAATTATACCAGTCTCCACCACCTCCTCTGACCGCTCATTCCATACACACACCATCCTCTGCATGAAAAAGTTGCCCCTTAGGTCCCTTTTAAATCCTTCCCCTCTCACCTTAAACCTATGCCTTCAGGTTTTGCACACCCCTGCTCCAGGGAAAAGACCTTGGTTATTCACCCTTTTCCATGCCCCTCACAATTTGATAAAATTCTATAAGGCCACCCCTCAGCCTCCAATGTTCCAAGTGAAAAAGCCCCAGCCTATTCAACCTTTCCCGAGAGCTCAAACCTTCCAACCCCCAGCAACATCCTCATAAATGTTTTCTGCACTCTTTCAAGTTTAACAACATCTTTCCTATAGCCAGAAGACCACAACTGAATGTGCAGTATTCCAAAAGTGGCCCAAGCAATGCCCTGCACAGCTGCAACATCACATCCCAACTCCTATCCATGCGTCACTAACCAATGAAGGCAAGCATGTCAAACACCTTCACCACCCTGTCTACCACTTTCAAGGAACTACGTACCTGCACCCCCAAGTCCCTTTGTCTGGCAACACTTCTTACGGCACTACCACTAACTGTGTACACTTGCCTTACCAAAATGCAACACCTCAAATTTATCAAAATTAAACTCCATCTGCCACTCATCAGACCATTGGCCCATTTGATCAAGGTCTCATTGTACTCTTAAATAAACGTTCTTCATTGACCACTACACCACCAATTTTGGTGTCATCTGCAAACTTATTAAACTTTCTTCCTATATTCACATCCAAATCATTTATATGACCAAAACCAGTGGACCCAGCACCAATCCTTGCGGCACAACACTGGTCACAGGCCTCCAGTTCGAAAAACAAAGAAGGGTCCAGACCCAAAACATCAACTTTCCTGCTCCTCTAATGCTGCCTGGCCTGCTGTGTTCCTCCAGCTCCACACTGTTATCTGACTCCAGCATTTGCAGTTCTTGCTATCTGATCTAACCC